TAGAGGTGCCACAATAGTAGTTTCTTTTTCATAGATATCTAGCCGTTACATTAACTTTAGTTTCATTTAAACTTGGTTGCATATATTAGTGCAAAGAAGTGTATCATGGATCCTTAATCTTCCACATACAAAATAAATATTAAGCTTGCATTAAATTAGCATATAAATACACATGATATAACAAAAACATTTTATTGCAACAGAAATGACTGAATTGTTACGCACTAAACTTTTGACTTCACAGATCGTACACTTAATTTAGTAACACATTGATTCATATTGTATAAATTAAATCAAACTAGGAACATAAAAAACCATTTGGGACTTCACCGCCACAGACATTAACGAGCAAGCTAAGAGATACTGGTACATTAAGATTGATCCCTAGGACGTTGGCTTTGATTGCAGTGCACAAACAGACGGCAGCCTCAAGGTCGGCAAGTCCTTGGATAAGAGAGCAACATGGCTTCACCGGTGGTGAACCTAACTCAACTTTGACCAATCCCCCTAGAAGATTAGCACAAACCCCCAGTTTCAAGGCGTCTCTAGGGCAGGTTTCTGTATTTGGGGTTGTGTTTGGTACCCTGTTCGGGTTGGGGTTGGGGGTGTGGTTCGTGTTGGTGTTGGGGTTGGGGTTTTGGTTAGTGTTAGGGATTTGGTTGGAGTAGGGATTGGGGTTGGGGTTGCTGCTTGGGTTTGGGTTTGGTTTTTGATTTGGATTGAGGGTGGGTTCTGGTATGTCGGACGTTTCACAGCCACTAACCACGACACATAATAAAAGGTTGAATGCTATGACCAGAACAACGGACACAATACTCTTCGATTCCATGCCGAAACGGGTTATGAAAACTTTGTCAATTATGGTAAAGGAAGAGTGTGATAGAGTAAGGGTACAATGGAGCATTATATAGGTCTCTGTGGAGTAATATTTTTTGTTTAAATATATTCCAGTTAGTAATTGAGTCAAATTAGCATGTTATAGTTTTTGCTGCCACCAACCCATGCACATCAAAGCGTTCAAAGTCCTTTTTTTTTTAACCAAACCAGAAGCATTATACTAATTGCAAATAAAAAATATATATGTGCTCCAACGGATTAAACTTTAACAGGGTATATATTATCTTACATATCTTTTGTTCAAATCTTTTTTAGTCTTTATATATATATATATATATATATATATATATATATATATATATATATATATATATATATATATATATATATATATATATCTTTTAAAGATTCAAATTGCGTGGTACGTATATGTGCTTTGCATGTAGGGTTATGGAAATACATTTTTGCTTCTGTATACTTTTCTAAAACTGAATATATTTTATGTTTAATATATAAATGGGTCGGCTACAATGAAAAATAAAGAAAAAGTTAGTACGCAATAATTTTGTAAAAGTTACCGAGTACAAAGAAGAGGTGAAAGCATCAATTAAACACCTTTCAATGTCCAGTAAATGTCTACTAAAGTCACAGACCACATTTACGTTTTTCCATTTTCTAAATGGATGTAAGTCACGCTATCATAAAATAATTAGAAGAGAGGGACTTCGAATCATTCCCATGATTTCAATGTTTGTCGAATCATTCCGATCATTTCAATGTTTGTCACATGAAAGATTTTTGGCATCTTAAATCTAAGTATAGTCAATAAACAATTGCTTTGAATTAGCAGGCGAGGGATATGTGTATTAACTGACTCAAGATATTTGGATTGAAGATCCTTAATTACAATTTTCACAAAATTCTAAGTAAATTCAATATAAAACTAATTCTAAATGGAAATTATTAGCCACGACCTTCTAGAGTTGTTAGATCAGTGGCATATATATTTCTACGATGGTAATTAAAATTTAATTATATGAAAATCTTGTTAATTTAGCGAAATATATAGCAGCCAAACACATTTTAAATGTTTAATAGCATATATTATGAGCATTATAAAATGACAAAGATTTTTGTTGGGAATCAAGTATTAGTTAACGATTGTTATACATTCTCTATCTTTTGGTGGTATGAAGGAAAAGGAATTAGTAACAAACCAGTTAGTAAACAAATTATATACTCAAAGAAAACTAATTATTTTTATATCCGGTTTTATATGAACCATTTATAAGAACCAATTTATGAAGGATGTCCAAAATAGAGAACCAAAAAATATCCTTGTAACATTTTACATTACTGGAGTGCAACTGATAACATAACCGTACATGTTTGGAACTTGTAGAAGTACCACAAAACACTACATATATAGGTATGTTAATTAACGGATGACGAAATGCGTCATTTGCATGGTAGACGAATTCTGATGGATGGGTAATGGATTAATGCATGTGGCTAATCCTTCTCATAATTTTGAATATTTGGCATATATGAACTAGCGTAAGATTTCAGAATAGATAAATTATATTTCTAAAGTTACTAGAAAAGATAGTAAACTAAATGGCTTGTGGTTGTTCTTTATCAAATAAAAGAAATATTTGCAAAACACGTTTAAAAAATATATAAAGTTTAAAACATTTTAATGGGTTATCGTGATCCGTCATTGATTATTATTATTATTATTATTATTATTATTATTATATTTTATGTTTTTTTATTTAGAGAGTAAGAATAAGCAAAAAGAAATAAAAAAAAAACATTAAACCCTTAAGGTTTCTTCACGAACTTTGAAAAAATAGAACACAATACAACTTTGTTTCTTCTATGACAACATTCTCGTTTTTTTTTTTCAGGATGATTGAATCGTGTCTCTACATCTTCAACATATATCGAAAAAAATTGTAATGATTCATTAGTGACACAACCATCGACTATATAACCTTTCAGCCACTCCTTATTTATGACATAATTTTTTGGTTTTTGCATATAATTTTCTAAGTGATACATCCATCTTATATATACCGGGATCTGCAAATATATTCGTATGTAGATGCAAAACTCAATGAATCACAATGTCAAAAAACCCAAGAGGACAGATCACTTCTAATTCGGATAAGATTCTAATAAATGTTGCCTTCACTTCCCCCGTATCCTTCACCAATAGTGTTCTCGAGCAAAGTTGTTTAAAAACATACAAAACTCTATTGTTGGTGCATAAGTATCCTTGTGCAAAAACCTTCTAACTCCAATTGGTATCACACATTTCATAAGAATGTGACTAACAACCATATATTTCTTAAAATATAATCATGTTAGATGTAAACCTATGAGGTCGTTTCAGCCCAACAATGTTAGTATTAATTTCTCTCGCTTTCTTAATCATGTTAGATGTAAACCTATGAGGTTGTTTAACATTTTTATAAATTCACTAGCATAGGCGAATAAATCTACATTTTGAATAACTTACCTCATATGTAAATGTGTATTACACGATTGGTCGTTTATGAATAATTCAACAGCATTTCCCTTATCTCCCACATGTGTTTGTGTGTGTCTATATATATATATATATATATATATATATATATATATATATATATATATATATATATATATATATATATATATATTCTTCTCTCTCATATTTTTATTTTGACGAATTGAGACAACCCATTGGGCGGATGTATTTGCTTATTTTGGCCCCCACAGTCAACCCATGTATGTTATTAACCATTTCCATTTTCTGTTTCTTTTAATTCCTTGTTAATTAAAAATAAAAATTAACGTATCTTTTTCAAATTTTGTAACAAACAAATACCCTTATCAACGACAATGAATATATTTCATTAATTTTTTAATCATTTTGGCATTTATTTCGATTTAAACTAATTAGGAGTTTTTGCAAACTGTTTATGTAGGTTCATGGGGCATCCCTTAGTTATTGTATCTAACCGGAAGCCGAATTCTATCCTTCGTAACATTTAGATATTAGTTAGAGTCTTGGTGGATATAAATCATATAATCATTTATCTAAAGTTTAGGATGTTACAACTGTACAATTGAAAATCAATAGATACATCTCACTTTTTTATGGCTTTATTCCGATATATGGTATCTTGATTTTAATACTTTGGATACAATGGATAATCAAACATGTGGGAACAAGTGTAACCTATCAAACATAATATCCTTACTTGGATGATAGCTTAGGATCAGTTGTATATGCAAAATTTTGATAGGAAATGGTTGTATTTGCATTCAACTCAATGTCTGCAGAATTTAACAGGAAATGGTTGTATTTGCATTCAACTTATTGTCTGAACTCTAACTAGAATGTTTTCTTTGTTTTGTATCATATTTCCCAAGTGCTTTTGTGAAACAAGGTTTATAACTGATTGAACAATAAAAATGGGTGGAATCATGTTTTTATTTCTACTTATTTCAATATGACAACCATTTTTAATTTGGTGGATAATAATTATGCACTTTAAGTCGAACCAAATTCATCGTTCGATTTGGTGAGTTTGATGAACATTTTCTATCATATTGATGCTTATGATTGACAATTTGTTTAGAGGTGCCACAATAGTAGTTTCTTTTTCATAGATATCTAGCCGTTACATTAACTTTAGTTTCATTTAAACTTGGTTGCATATATTAGTGCAAAGAAGTGTATCATGGATCCTTAATCTTCCACATACAAAATAAATATTAAGCTTGCATTAAATTAGCATATAAATACACATGATATAACAAAAACATTTTATTGCAAAAGAAATGACTGAATTGTTACGCACTAAACTTTTGACTTCACAGATCGTACACTTAATTTAGTAACACATTGATTCATATTGTATAAATTAAATCAAACTAGGAACATAAAAAACCATTTGGGACTTCACCGCCACAGACATTAACGAGCAAGCTAAGAGATACTGGTACATTAAGATTGATCCCTAGGACGTTGGCTTTGATTGCAGTGCACAAACAGACGGCAGCCTCAAGGTCGGCAAGTCCTTGGATAAGAGAGCAACATGGCTTCACCGGTGGTGAACCTAACTCAACTTTGACCAATCCCCCTAGAAGATTAGCACAAACCCCCAGTTTCAAGGCGTCTCTAGGGCAGGTTTCTGTATTTGGGGTTGTGTTTGGTACCCTGTTCGGGTTGGGGTTGGGGGTGTGGTTCGTGTTGGTGTTGGGGTTGGGGTTTTGGTTAGTGTTAGGGATGGGTTGGAGTAGGGATTGGGGTTGGGGTTGCTGCTTGGGTTTGGGTTTGGTTTTTGATTTGGATTGAGGGTGGGTTCTGGTATGTCGGACGTTTCACAGCCACTAACCACGACACATAATAAAAGGTTGAATGCTATGACCAGAACAACGGACACAATACTCTTCGATGCCATGCCGAAACGGGTTATGAAAACTTTGTCAATTTTGGTAAAGGAAGAGTGTGATAGAGTAAAGGTACAATGGAGCATTATATAGGTCTCTGTGGAGTAATATTTTTTGTTTAAATATATTCCGTTAGTAATTGAGTCAAATTAGCATGTTATAGTTTTTGCTGCCACCAACCCATGCACATCAAAGCGTTCAAAGTCCTTTTTTTTTTAACCAAACCAGAAGCATTATACTAATTGCAAATAAAAAATATATATGTGCTCCAACGGATTAAACTTTAACAGGGTATGTATATTATCTTACATATCTGTTGTTCAAATCTTTTTTAGTCTTATATATATATATATATATATATATATATATATATATATATATATATATATATATATATATAATATATATATATATATATCTTCTAAAGATTCAAATTGCGTGGTACGTATATGTGCTTTGCATGTAGGGTTATGGAAATACATTTTTGCTTCTGTATACTTTTCTAAAACTGAATATATTTTATGTTTAATATATAAATGGGTCGGCTACAATGAAAAATAAAGAAAAAGTTAGTTCGCAATAATTTTGTAAAAGTTACCGATTACAAAGATGAGGTGAAAGCTTCAATTAAACACCTTTCAATGTCCAGTAAATGTCTACTAAAGTCACAGACCACGTTTACGTTTTTCCATTTTCTAAATGGATGTAAGTCACGCTATCATAGAATAATTAGAAGAGAGGGACTTCGAATCATTCCCATGATTTCAATGTTTGTCGAATCATTCCCATGATTTCAATGTTTGTCACATGAAAGATTTTTGGCATCTTAAATCTAAATATAGTCAATAAACAATTGCTTTGAATTAGCAGGCGAGGGATATGTGTATTAACTGACTGAAGATATTAGGATTGAAGATCCTTAATTATAATTTTAACAAAATTCTAAGTAAATTCAATATAAAACTAATTGTAAATGGAAATTATTAGCCACGACCTTCTACAGTTGTTAGATCAGTGGCATATATATTTCTACGATGGTAATTAAAATTTAATTATATGAAAATGTTGTTAATTTAGCGAAATATATAGCAGCCAAACACATTTTAAATGTTTAATAGCATATATTATGAGCATTATAAAATGACAAAGATTTTTGTTGGGAATCAAGTATTAGTTAACGATTGTTATACATTCTCTATCTTTTGGTGGTATGAAGGAAAAGGAATTTGTAACAAACCAGTTAGTAAACAAATTATATACTCAAGGAAAACTAATTATTTTTATATCCGGTTTTATATGAACCATTTATAAGAACCAATTTATGAAGGATGTCCAAAATAGAGAACCAAAAAAATATCCTTGTAACATTTTACATTACTGGAGTGCAACTGATAACCGTACATGTTTGGAACTTGTAGAAGTACCACAAAACACTACATATATAGGTATGTTAATTAACGGATGACGAAATGCGTCATTTGCATGGTAGACGAATTCTGATGGATGGGTAATAGATTAATGTATGTGGCTAATCCTTCACATAATTTTGAATATTTGGCATGAACTTGCATAAGATTTCAGAATAGATAAATTATATTTCTAAAGTTACTAGAAAGGATACTAAACTAAATGGTTTGATGTTGTTCTTTATCAAATAAAAGAAATATTTGCAAAACACGTTTAAAAAATATACAAAGCTTAAAATATTTTAATGGGTTATTGTGATCCGTCATTGATTATTATTATTATTACTATTATTATTTTTATTATTATTATATTTTATGTTTTTTTATTTAGAGAGTAAGAATAAGTAAAAAGAAATAAAAAAAAACATTAAACCCTTAAGGTTTCTTCACGAACTTTGAAAAAATAGAACACAATACAACTTTGTTTCTTCTATGACAACATTTTCGTTTTTTTTTTCAGGATGATTGAATCGTGTCTCTACATCTTCAACATATATCGAAAAAAATTGTAATGATTCATTAGTGACACAACCATCGACTATATAACCTTTCAGCCACTCCTTATTTATGACATAATTTTTTGGTTTTTGCATATAATTTTCTAAGTGATACATCCATCTTATATATACCGGGATCTGCAAATATATTCGTATGTAGATGCAAAACTCAATGAATCACAATGTCAAAAAACCCAAGAGGACAGATCACTTCTAATTCGGATAAGATTCTAATAAATGTTGCCTTCACTTCCCCCGTATCCTTCACCAATAGTGTTCTCGAGCAAAGTTGTTTAAAAACATACAAAACTCTATTGTTGGTGCATAAGTATCCTTGTGCAAAAACCTTCTAACTCCAATTGGTATCACACATTTCATAAGAATGTGACTAACAACCATATATTTCTTAAAATATAATCATGTTAGATGTAAACCTATGAGGTCGTTTCAGCCCAACAATGTTAGTATTAATTTCTCTCGCTTTCTTAATCATGTTAGATGTAAACCTATGAGGTTGTTTAACATTTTTATAAATTCACTAGCATAGGCGAATAAATCTACATTTTGAATAACTTACCTCATATGTAAATGTGTATTACACGATTGGTCGTTTATGAATAATTCAACAGCATTTCCCTTATCTCCCACATGTGTTTGTGTGTGTCTATATATATATATATATATATATATATATATATATATATATATATATATATATCATTCTCTCTCATATTTTTATTTTGACGAATTGAGACAACCCATTGGGCGGATGTATTTGCTTATTTTGGCCCCCACAGTCAACCCATGTATGTTATTAACCATTTCCATTTTCTGTTTCTTTTAATTCCTTGTTAATTAAAAATAAAATTAACGTATCTTTTTCAAATTTTGTAACAAACAAATACCCTTATCAACGACAATGAATATATTTCATTAATTTTTTAATCATTTTGGCATTTATTTCGATTTAAACTAATTAGGAGTTTTTGCAAACTGTTTATGTAGGTTCATGGGGCATCCCTTAGTTATTGTATCTAACCGGAAGCCGAATTCTATCCTTCGTAACATTTAGATATTAGTTAGAGTCTTGGTGGATATAAATCATATAATCATTTATCTAAAGTTTAGGATGTTACAACTGTACAATTGAAAATCAATAGATACATCTCACTTTTTTATGGCTTTATTCCGATATATGGTATCTTGATTTTAATACTTTGGATACAATGGATAATCAAACATGTGGGAACAAGTGTAACCTATCAAACATAATATCCTTACTTGGATGATAGCTTAGGATCAGTTGTATATGCAAAATTTTGATAGGAAATGGTTGTATTTGCATTCAACTCAATGTCTGCAGAATTTTAACAGGAAATGGTTGTATTTGCATTCAACTTATTGTCTGAACTCTAACTAGAATGTTTTCTTTGTTTTGTATCATATTTCCCAAGTGCTTTTGTGAAACAAGGTTTATAACTGATTGAACAATAAAAATGGGTGGAATCATGTTTTTATTTCTACTTATTTCAATATGACAACCATTTTTAATTTGGTGGATAATAATTATGCACTTTAAGTCGAACCAAATTCATCGTTCGATTTGGTGAGTTTGATGAACATTTTCTATCATATTGATGCTTATGATTGACAATTTGTTTAGAGGTGCCACAATAGTAGTTTCTTTTTCATAGATATCTAGCCGTTACATTAACTTTAGTTTCATTTAAACTTGGTTGCATATATTAGTGCAAAGAAGTGTATCATGGATCCTTAATCTTCCACATACAAAATAAATATTAAGCTTGCATTAAATTAGCATATAAATACACATGATATAACAAAAACATTTTATTGCAAAAGAAATGACTGAATTGTTACGCACTAAACTTTTGACTTCACAGATCGTACACTTAATTTAGTAACACATTGATTCATATTGTATAAATTAAATCAAACTAGGAACATAAAAAACCATTTGGGACTTCACCGCCACAGACATTAACGAGCAAGCTAAGAGATACTGGTACATTAAGATTGATCCCTAGGACGTTGGCTTTGATTGCAGTGCACAAACAGACGGCAGCCTCAAGGTCGGCAAGTCCTTGGATAAGAGAGCAACATGGCTTCACCGGTGGTGAACCTAACTCAACTTTGACCAATCCCCCTAGAAGATTAGCACAAACCCCCAGTTTCAAGGCGTCTCTAGGGCAGGTTTCTGTATTTGGGGTTGTGTTTGGTACCCTGTTCGGGTTGGGGTTGGGGGTGTGGTTCGTGTTGGTGTTGGGGTTGGGGTTTTGGTTAGTGTTAGGGATGGGGTTGGAGTAGGGATTGGGGTTGGGGTTGCTGCTTGGGTTTGGGTTTGGTTTTTGATTTGGATTGAGGGTGGGTTCTGGTATGTCGGACGTTTCACAGCCACTAACCACGACACATAATAAAAGGTTGAATGCTATGACCAGAACAACGGACACAATACTCTTCGATGCCATGCCGAAACGGGTTATGAAAACTTTGTCAATTTTGGTAAAGGAAGAGTGTGATAGAGTAAAGGTACAATGGAGCATTATATAGGTCTCTGTGGAGTAATATTTTTTGTTTAAATATATTCCGGTTAGTAATTGAGTCAAATTAGCATGTTATAGTTTTTGCTGCCACCAACCCATGCACATCAAAGCGTTCAAAGTCCTTTTTTTTTTAACCAAACCAGAAGCATTATACTAATTGCAAATAAAAAATATATATGTGCTCCAACGGATTAAACTTTAACAGGGTATGTATATTATCTTACATATCTGTTGTTCAAATCTTTTTTAGTCTATATATATATATATATATATATATATATATATATATCTTCTAAAGATTCAAATTGCGTGGTACGTATATGTGCTTTGCATGTAGGGTTATGGAAATACATTTTTGCTTCTGTATACTTTTCTAAAACTGAATATATTTTATGTTTAATATATAAATGGGTCGGCTACAATGAAAAATAAAGAAAAAGTTAGTTCGCAATAATTTTGTAAAAGTTACCGATTACAAAGATGA